GAAAGCTCAGCCTATAGCTTAGGCTTGTTCCTAACTAGTTCTTATAACTTAAATTAACCCAATGTTTTAATCTGTGTCCTGTCACGTGGCTTGGCTACCTCTGACTTGTTCTTCATCTCCTGTTGTCTCCCTGGTGCCTATGTGTCATAACCCTAGCACATAGATTCCTTTTTGTCCTCTCTCTCCCTGAGAATCCTGCCAGTCTCTCTTGTCTTATTGGCTATTCAGCTCTTTATTAAACCAATCAAACAACTCATCTTCACACAGTGTTTAAAAATATCCCACAATAGTAGTTGATTTTTATATTATGGCTTAATATTTGAAACTTGTTTTCCTTTTTGAGATAGGGTCTCATGTGACCCAGGCTGGCCTTGAACTCCCTATATGGCCATGGATGACCTTGAATTCATGATTCTCCTGTCTCCATTTTCAAGAGTTGAGATATCATTACTGTTTTTACTTTTTGTAAAATAAGACATTGTTGGCCAGCAAGATTGTTCAGTGGGTAAAAGCACTTGCTTCATAAGCCTAGTGAACTGAGTTCAATTCTCTAGAATCACATAAAAAAGCTGGATGTGTTACAGGGCACACAACTTTAATCCCAGTACTTGGGAGGCAGAGAGGCTGAGGCAGGTGGATCTCTGAGTTTGAGCTCAGCCAGCTCTACAGAGTGAGAACCAGGACAGCAAGGGCTACACAGAGAAATTCTGTCTCCACACCCCCCCAAAAAAAAAAGCTGGTTGTGGTGGCATGCATCTGTAATCCCAGTATTCCTTCAGTGAAATGGGAGGCAGAAGCAGGAGAGTTGCCTGGCATATCAAAGGTCAGCTTGCCTGGAATATATAGCAAGGCAGAAACAGTAAAAGAGACTGTGCCTCCAAGCAAGGAGGAAGGGAGAGAACAGACAATGGAAATTGTCCTCTGACTTTCAGAGGCTATGGGCACACACTTGCACCCTTCACCACGTACCATATATACAGACACTAACAACAACAAAATACAAAATTTGAGGTTGTTGATTTTGTAATTTCAGCACTTTTCTCTCTAAATGATAATAGAAAAGGTGGCAGAGACCTAACTGCTTATGCAATGATCATAGTTTGAGTCCCAATAAATGAAATGCAAAATTGGAGTCAGTGTAATATTTTAAATTCTGATTTTGATATACAAAGATGTATTGATATTCCATTTTAAAATATGACTAGTTGTAGTCTTAAAAATCTTTAATCTCATAGAAAAAAGAATGTACTTACATAGTAATCAGCTTGTTAGCGCTTCTTTCTTTTTTTTTTTCATTTTTTGTACTACACAGTATAAACATTGAGTTGGGATTATTTGAATGCAATTTTTGTGTATCTGGTAAAGAATGGTCTTCAGTAGATTTGCATAATTCAAATGTCTTTATAAGCCTTATTATCTTGCTTTATTTTGACATCAGTGTACATTATACTTTCCTTTAGAAAAACAAAAATTTAATATTCTGAAATATTATTAATATTTCTTTGTCTGAGAAACAGGAGGGTGAGCTAGCACCTGGTGACAAGGACAAAGGCTTTTTCCCATTTGTTCCCTTATTTGCTACTAGCACATTTTACAGATGGGAAAGGAGTCATTTCCTTACCTATCAAGGAAATAGCTCCAGATCACAAATAAGGTACCCTAATTTTAGAAATTAAAACTACCTACGATTTACCCGTCTCTGCTTCCTGAGCAACTTCCTCAACTTAGGTATCTTCCTCAAGCTCCTGGTGGCATAATCTCCCTGCCTGAAAGGCCGCTTTACTGAAATGTGAGCTGACATACCCTGCCCCTTCCCCAAGCCCAGAAAACAGATAACTCACAGACCCCTACTTTAATATGTTGAGTACTTATCATGTCTGGTATCGTAAGTATCTTGTCATTTGTGTTGGCTTTCCATTAGAGTAACAAAGTACCTGAGATAATCAACTGAGGAAAAAGAATGGTTTGCCTTGGCACACGGTTTTAGAGGTTTAAATCTGAGGTCAGGTGGAATCATTGCTTTTGGGCCTGTGGTGGGGTGGGTGGTACATGTTAGCAGGTAGCATGCTGTGGAGCCAAGCTGAGAAGAAAGAGCAGGAGGAAGGAGTAGAGGTCTCACTATTCCCATCAAGGCCATGCTTCCAATGACCTATCATAAGGTCCCACCTTTCAAAGTTTTCACAAGCTCTCAACACGATGCTGGACCAAAGCCTTTAACATTCTGGCCTTTGACAGACTTGCAGATCAAATTCCAACAGTTTCGTAGTCCAGTGCTCTATATGTGCTAAGTACGTGGTATGTGTTTGTTAAACTGAATTGATGTAAAATGCACTTTAGATTTAATAAAAGAAAAGTGGCCATTGTATACAAGGTGCACTCAGCTTATTTTATTTTTAATAATGGATGTAGGGGAGATATGAATTAAAAAAAAATTTCCGGAGCCAAACGTATTACCTCATAACTGTAGTCCCTGAACTTGGGAGGCAGGAAGACTGTCATAAGTTTGAGGCCAGCCTAGACTATATAATGAGTAAGGCCCTGTTTCAAACAAAGAAAGATAAAACAAAGAGACAAAACCTCAAATGTTCTTGTAGCAGAAAAAAGGGACAGTGAATGCAAATTATGGGCCACCCATGTCCCCCACCCCCACCCCCAGGAAAGGCCCTGTCTCACAGTTCACAATGTTGTAGCCTTTGCTGCATAGCTTGCTACAAATGGCCATAGATATGGTGGAGAAGAAATTAGCACACATACCCACTCTCCTTAGTTTGGCCAAACTGTGTAAATCCAAATCCACTTTCCTTTACCATTTTCTGTTTTATGATATCTTTAGAATTTAGAGGAAATGAGTGTTTTATTTATGGCAACAACAGTAAATCTGTACTTAGCATTGTATCAGGAGCATATTACTATAGCTGAATAAACACAGAAGTTTTCCAAAAGCCCCACATCATTTCTGTTTCTTTTGAGGCAGGGTTTCCTATGACCTATTTACATAGCTGTAATTTTAAACATTCATTGTTTAAAAAAAAAAATCTTGGACATGGCTTTTTAGGTTGTAAGCTGTTAATACCATCATCAAAGATGTAATTTCAAAAAAGATCTATTTTATTTGTGCATTCTCTCACTCTGTGTGTGTGTGTGTGTGTGTGTCGTTATTGGTGCCCTGGAGGTCTGAAGAGGGAAACACATCCCATGGAATCAGGGATATATCTTTTGTAAGAGCAGCAAGTACTCTTAATCTTTGAACCATCTCCCCAGCCTAAAGATGTGGAAAACAGAAGGTATTCCTTCAAAATGTAAAAGAATAGTACTTTAGAGTAAAAAGTTTCTATATGGCCAGGCATGATTATGGACACCCTTAATCCCAGCACTTGGGAGTGTGGTGATATATTGTTTATGATTTAATAAAGCTGGCCTGGGGATCAGAACGCATAGAAGCCAGTCAATAATGGCACACACTTTTAATCCGAGGACCTAGGAGACAGAGGCAGATGGATCCCTATGAGTCTAAAACCACCCTGGGCTACACAAGAGTGAATTAGTCTAAAAGAATAACAGAGTTCACACTGTCCAGTCCCAGCACTGGAGAGATATATAAGGGAGAAGCAAAGGGTCTCATGTGAAATTCTGTTTCCAGTCAAGGGAAGGCAGGATTTCCATTTCAGCCTTGGTAGAGGTAAGAGCTACTTGCTTTGCTCTTCTGTTCTTTAGCTTGAACTCCAATATCTACCCCTGCGTTTTTATTATTCGTGCTACATGGGAGGTAGAGTTCCAGGCCACCTAGAGTTCTGTAGTCTGTCTCAACAAGCCAGTGGAATTCTGCTTCCTATGAATATGGCCACAAATGATTACAAACTAAAAACAGTATGATTCAGTAGGTAATGCTGTTATAACATAGGTATCTATTCTGCGGTAAAATTGTACATACAATGTCACATGTTTCCAAGAGCTTTCAGTTCTTTGACCAAACTTTGTCAGGTTGAGTAGCTGAAATCCACTAGGAGGAGGTTGCAGCATCCCTAAAGCTCTGATTAGGCAACAATGCTTGTCTCACAAAACCAGCTCACCAGGTAGGAATTACTATGCCATCAACCACAAGCTCTGTAATTACTGGCAACACAGCTTTCAGAAAAAGACACAAGAGTCTGTGATTCAAGACTGAGCACGTTTGTGACAAAACTGACCTTTACAGAGTTGTTTGCTACTAAACTTAAATGTAAGCAATCCCGACAGAGGCCTCTTCCAGCGAGGTTATAAAAACCGCAGCTATTGTAGGAGATTAAGGACCTTTGATCAAAAACAGAATGGACGACAAAATCAGAGTGGACGACAGAACAGGCAGAGCTATTCCAGTTTGCTTTAGTAGGTTGCAAAAATTATACAAAGGCATGATTTAACTTTGAGAAGTTTTAAAGGTAGAGTAGTATAGGATCTAACAAACACATCCCACACGTTCCAGCAACCTGGAATATGAGACAAGGCTTCTGCCCTTGACGGGAAAGGAACATTTATGGAACACCTGATATGTGCGAAGTCATCTTTCAGACAAGAGTCCATTTAAGGACTTCTAAATGATGATGGCGGATTTGGCCTCGTAGCTCAAAATAGCACGTCATTCTCGGATTCCAAGTAAATAAGAAATACACTCAATACGTGGAAGGGAGGGGCAGGTTAAAAAAAAAAGGGGGGGTAGCAATAAGGGAAAGATACAGTTAAAAAAAACTTAGATAATTAGATTCTTTTTCGAAGTCAAACCTTTTCAACTCCGCGGCTCAGAACAAATAAAAACAGGAATGATACCTCCTGGAAACAAACTTTAGTAATGAAATACAAGCAAGTCCCATAACATCCGAAAACACGTGGCGGGGGAGGGGAGCTGGCGGCTGGACCAAGGACTCCCACTCCCACTAGCCCTTTCGACAGCCAAGAGTGGCTGTGGAGGGAGCGTCGGCGCCGGGCATGTTGGGGTTTGTAGTCTTCTCCCGGCACCTCCCCGTGGGTTTGCGACGTTTAGCGACTGTGGCGCCTGCGCGCGCTGGGCCGGCTGGGCTGGGGCCGTGGCGGCTCGTGCCGGGTGATGCTAGGCGTATCCCTGGGCTCCAGGCTGTTGCGGGGCGTGGGTGGCAGGCACGGGCAGTTCGGGGCGCGAGGTGTCAGCGAAAGTGGCGCAGCCATGGCGGCAGGGGAGAGCATGGCTCAGCGGATGGTCTGGGTGGACCTGGAGGTGAGAGAGTCCGGCTGGGGGTGCGGGGAGGCGAGCATGGGACCCAAGGACCCACCTGTTCCGGGAGGTGGTGGGGGTCCGGGTGTCAGGTGCGGCAGGTGAGCACGGCCCGAGCCAGGAGTTCTGCGTGGTTCTGGGACTGTGTTGGACTGTGGGATTTCTTTCCATCTGGGTGGAGCCATCCATGTGTCTTCCCTCTCCGCAGCCTCTACCTCCACCCAGATGTGAATTTGCCTAACGCCTAGTGTCTCTGGGATCAGGATCAAGGGTGAGAGTGGGAACAGCTACTCTGAGCGCCCCTCACCTCCATCTCCTAGCCTTAAAAGACTAGGTTGCTTAAGCTGGTTGGGACTCAGAAGATGACTCAGCCTAACCCCTCATTCCATAGAAGAGAAAATTGAGGCCCCAGTTGAAGATTCAAGTTACTCAAAGTGCACTGGGAACCGAACCCATTTTACTTTTAACGCATTCATACCTAGGCCTCCCTCGAGCCCCAGTTATTTCCTTATGAAAAGAGTTTAGTTGCTAACTTTTTATGCTAGATTATGATAAAGATCAGATGTTGGAGCAAATAGGGAACTTTTATAAACTTCAGATAGGTAATGTTGGTGAGCTCACTTTTTGTGATGAAGTGTTTGTGTTCTTCTTGCTTACTTTGCGTCTGTTCCTGGGACAAACACAGTTTGACAGTACCTAACCTACAGTAAATGTCTGTAGCAGTCACTGAGCTAGTGCTCAGTACTTACTACCCTAAGTACTGCCCAGGAAACATAGTTATTTATCCTAGAATGTAAGCTGAGTATGCACAAAGGAATCTATTAAATAAACGTGGGCAGAAGAGATTTACTAAAGATGGTTTCATGTGTTATATCCTTATGTGTTTATTTTGCAGATGACAGGATTGGACATTGAGAAGGATCAGATTATCGAGATGGCCTGTCTGATAACTGACTCTGATCTTAACATTTTGGCTGAAGTAGGTGATGCCATGTAAATACTTTCATACCACTTAAGGGCACCGGGAATCTAAAGATGGTTTCTTCTATTCTAATTGAAAAATTTAGTGGATTGAGGTCCATGTAGATTAAGGTCCACCATAATATGCTAGGACATTAATTAGAGTTGGTACCAGAACTAGCATTGATGTAGAACCAATTATGAGGAGGATTATTAATCTATCTCATACTGGATTAATTTTTCAATTGATATCTATAGAAACCAACCTGTCTTTTTTCCAAGGGCTAAACAATCCTGAAGGCTATACAGGTTTGTTCTTATGATGATAAGATTGATTCTATTACTGATGCTCAATTTGTACCTGAAGACATTATGTTGCAGAAATTTGGGGGACTTAGCTAGATATTGAGGAAGCTGGTTAAACTATTCTCTAAACCCAGGCAGTCTCACGTGTTCTTAACCAGTAGTCCAGCAAGCTGTGGTCCTATCAGGTTTGGTGACCTCTTCCAGAGTTCCATCTTAACGTCATAACTTTGACTTTAATTCCATATATAGTTATCCCTTCACCACTCCATAGGGTATACACTCCAGGATTCCTCTATAGAGATCAAAATCTTATGCGCCTACATCTTTTACCAAATGAGCACTTTGAATTACTTCTAGATTGCCTATTGTCATTCTTCCTGTAGAATACCCGATGCAATGTCTGTGTGTGTAAATAGTTTTTACATCAGGCATGATAAAAAAAAATCCATATACATTCCTTACAGACAGATGACGTTAGGTCTGAGTTGGTTGAATCCTCTCGAACAATACCCATTGTTCAAACGGCTGATTGCCTTTTCAGCTGGATGTGTGCTTCCTGCACGTCTGTGTTAGGGTTGTAGACTGTCTGTTGTTGCACTTAGACTGTTCTCTTAGTGACATTACAAGCCCTGATAAAAATGTTGACCATGCTGCTTTTAACTGAAACATTTAGCAAAGCAAGTAAAACACACCTGTTGGCATTTGTATTTTAGCCGCTCAGGAAGCATTTTAAAAGTTTGTGGTATCTCTTAACCATAGATGAAATCTCTGATCTTGATATTGTCCTCAATATTTGAAGTCAATAGAAAACAAAACAGGCCAGGCATAGTTAAAGGTGCACACCTTTAACCCCAGCACTTGGGAGGCAATGGCAGGCCTCCCAATGTGAGTTTGAGATCAGCCTGGTTTGTATGGCCAGTTCCAGGCCAGTCAAGGCTACATAGTGGGGGTGGAGAGATGGCTCAGTGGTTAAAGCATGTACTACTCAATCATGAAGAGTTTGTGTCACAGTATCTTCCTTTAGCAGGTATCTCACAAGCACCCATAACTCCAGCTCTAAAGGACTTGATGGCCTTCTTCTGGCCTTCATAGGTATCCAGGTATCCCCCCATTCTATGCATACACATAGGAATAAAATTAAACAACAAATAAAACAGCACCAAAACCCGTAGATAGTAGGGATGCTGCGGAGAAAGGAGTCTTGTTAATAATCAGGTTCTCAGAGGGTAGACTGGATGGATACTGGAGCTGTAGCTATCTCCTAAGCCTACAGTTAGGACTTCTTTTTATTCCTTGGGTAGACAAAGGAGATGAGGCATTTTTAGCTGGGCATGATGTTACAAACCTTTAATCTCAGCACTTTGGAAGGCAGAAGCAGACAGATCTCTGTGAGGTTGAGGTCAGGCTGGTCTACAGAGTGAGTGCCAGATCAGCCACAGCTACACAGTGATAACAACAACAACAGAATTTAAAAACAAAAAGGAACAACAAAGGACATTTAGAGATGAGTCCCTGTCTTGTAATGGCATCAGACTTATGTGGAAGAGAACTAGAGATTATTTCTTAAAACAACTTCTTTAAAACTTGTAAATAAATAAACCAAGCACCAAGCTTTAGGTTGCTTGCTTATTTTTCTGGCTTAGAACTTCCTGGCAATAAACAGTCAAGTATCTTTATTTTACCAGCTCTGCTTAGCCTTGGCCAAAGAAGTATTTTTCTTTTAGACCCAAAATAGGGATTAATGGATCAGTTGGTTGATACGTACCCAGGGGAACTTCGGATGCATGTCAATATAGTTGTTCATGAATGGGGAATTTGTTTGAAGGTTTAAGTCATATGAGGATAAGGGTGTTAAAGAAAATATTTAAGGGATGTCAGTTGTGTGGAAAGTATGTTTTATTTTCATGCAAGGATCTGAGGAACGTGATTTTTTATTTATTTATTTTTGCTGCTAGAAGCATCCTGTTTTGCAAACTTAATTTGAATGTCTTAGTTTGCCAAAGGACAGTCCAGAAGAGGCCAGTAGATTTATATTATGTTTTTTCTGTTCTTCAGGTTTTTTTTAAACATTTTTTTTTTTTTTTTTAATTTCTCCACTGAGATTGTCAGCATCTGTTTTTGTATTTGGCTACAATTCAGTTTTAGACAGCAGGCCTATTTTAGTACAGTTCTAGACTAGCTGTTGAGTTTAATTTGTAGGGGATCAGTGGGACCCTGCTTGCTGCCAGTCCTAACAACCTGAGTTCAATCCTTAGGAACCATACAGAAGAAGGAGAGGAGGACCTTGTTCTCTGATACACACACACACACACACACACACAGAGAGAGAGAGAGAGAGAGAGAGAGAGAGAGAGAGAGAGAGAGAAAGAAAGAGAGGGAGGGAGAGGGAGAGAGGAATGTGTTATACTTACATTCTTGCATATAAATAAAAACTTAATAAAAATTTTAAAAGCGGATATAAGCTGTGCTGATTAAACTTGAACTCCTTTCAGTGATTGAAATCTATTTTTACCACCTTTCTTGTCATACTTCCTTGCCCAAAGTAGCAGATAGTCTTCTGCAGAGTTCAGATAAGCTGCCTGTAATTTCTTGCACACTTTTAGCTCCTGATGGGGAAAGTTAAACTTCTTTTATAACCTTTGTCTTTTGAGGAAAAACAGAAGTGATTATTATTAGCTTAGTTCTACTAGTCAGGCTGTGTGACAGACTCTGTTGGCTGGACTGGAGGGCTGGCAGGCTGGCTCAGTGGGTAAAGGCGCTTGCAACCAAGACTGATGACCAGAATTTGATCTCAGAACCCAACTGCTAGAAGGAAAGAACTAATTCCCACAAGTTCTTTGACCTCCACATTCGTGCTGTGTTACAGTGTGTGTGTGTGCACAAGTGCATGCGTGTGTATGCAGATAAAATTTAGGGGCCAGAGAGCAAGCTCAGCAGTTAAAGTAGTATAGTGCTCTCATGGGGCACCTGAGTTTAGTCCCCAGCACCCATGTTGGGCAGCTCACAGCTGCATGTAACTCCAGCTCCAGGGCTGATGTGCTCCTTGGCTTCCAAGGATACCAGCACTCATGAACATAGGCACACAAGCAAATTCATAGCTAAAACTAGATCTTTAAAGGTTTTCTTAATTCAAAGAAATTCATACATGGAACTGAGAATTTGAGGGCCACTTTTTTCTTCAGATATTACTTATTTCTTTAAAAACATTAACTTTAAATGTAAAACTAAAACTACAGAATGTAACTTCACAGTACACACACACACACACACACACACACACACACACACATCTATCTCAATCTGTTGTTTATTTGATCCTCTTTCTCAGTCCTATCCTCTCCATAGTGTTTGTGTTTTCTTCACATTTTGTATGCAAATACAATGTGCATTTTAAAACAAAGGGATGTTGTCAGGGTAGCTGCTTAGTCAGTAAAGTATTTGCTGTGTAAACAGAGCACCCTGAGTTAGATCTTCACCCCTATGTAAGAAGCCAGCCTGGTGCTCTGCATCTGTAATCCTGGTTGCAGGAAGGTGGAATCAAGTGCCTCTTTGGGGGCTTGCTGGCTAGCCTAATTGGCAAGCCCTAGGTCCTTAGGTGGATGACTCCTGAGGAACAAACACCCAAGGGTGTCCTCTGACCTCACATGCTTGGCATATATGGCCTTCTCCCTAATACACTCATAAAAATAAGTGCAGTTTGACAGTAGGGTTGTTTCTGTTAGTTCTTACATAGCTCTGGCTGCCTTAGAACTTGCCATGCAGACCCAGCTGGCCTCAAAGTCAAGGAGTCCCATTTCTGTCTCAGTCTCCTAAGGGCAGTGATTAAAGGTGTACGCCACCACCCCCAGTTTCTGTTGATTTTCTCGATGACTAATGGCTCTTCCTACCCACAGGGTCCCAACCTGATTATCAAACAGCCGGATGAGTTGCTGGACAGCATGTCAGATTGGTGCAAGGAGCATCATGGGAAGGTAACATTACCAAATAACAGGATTGCTGCTTTGGGGACCAGTCACAAGCTTGTTGCTCCCACATCTGAATCCTGTGCCCTTGGTGGATGGTGTTAGAAAAGGGTTAGAGGAAGATGGCTTGGCAAACCTGGGCAGCTGCTTGCTTGTGCACTTTGCATCCTTGGGACCTCTCGAGATCACCTTCTCCTGAATGTCCTTTTTCTCTCTTCTACATTCAGTCTGTCGCGAACACATTGTGGAATTTCAAGTGTTACTCAAGTCAGTCTTATGGATAAGGTTAGAACTCGACCCACAGAGAATGGGGACTGCTGCTTTCCTGGTGGTAGCTGCCTCTTCCGAGAGCTTCTAGCCTTGGACTTTGAGCACCATCTTTTCTGACTATGTGAAAGGGATACTAACAATCAGGAGCATAACTAAATTTGGTCTGGATTCTTTAAGAAACAGAATTGGTGTAACGATGGCAGTTTCAGTTCAAACTCCAGCCCCCCAAAACTGGTCCAGCTGTGGTTATCTTTACCCATTTTAGAAGTGAAATTTCATTTCCGGATACTTTTGAAAACTGACTTGATGTGTTTCTGGTGGGGGCTGGGGATTCTCTCTTGCAGTCTGGTCTTACCAAGGCAGTGAAGGAGAGTACAATTACATTGCAGCAGGCAGAGTATGAATTTCTGTCCTTTGTACGACAGCAGACTCCTCCGGGGCTCTGTCCACTTGCAGGTAAAATCCAATCCCATGTCTATCTTGTAGATAGTCTTCTGTAGTAGTGGCTCAAGAAACCAGAGAATCCCAGAGTTTCAGAGAGACCAGCTGAGGCATTCTTGCCTTCCACTCACCCTGGTTTGGAGTACACGTCTCACTTTTGTGTATTGGTGAAATGGTTTGGAACTTGATCTGAGATCTGAGAAACACAGACGAACTCAGCAAAAACTCCCCCCATATTTTTATTATGGAAAAAGTTCCAAATGCGCAGAAAAGTTGGATTTGGTCATCCTTAGCCTTTGTCACATTGCTTTTATCCCTATATTTTTCTTGCTGCTTTTGGACATTTGAAAATAAATGGCAGGCTTTGTGATACTTCCTAAAGCCCCCTCCCCCTCCCCAAGCAGCTCCTAAGAGTAAGGGCATTTTCTTACGTAACACAGTATTACTGTTGCATTGGAAATCATTAATGCCATTTAAGAATATCCGTGGTACTCAGCCCACATTTGAAGCATCCTAAAGTGTCTGTTTTTGAACCCAGATTTAGTCATATATATATATATATATATATATATATATATATATATATTTTATTTTTATTTGGTTATTTCACCTCTAGTTGGTTAGTCTAAAGTCATTCACTTATTTTCCCCCACCCCTGCTCCTCCCCTGTGACACTGACTTTAAGAGACCAGGTCTGTTAACCTAGGGTTTTTTGAAGGGTTAACATTGTCAGAGGGAAGGGAATGTTCTGTGACGGGGTGTTTGCATTTGTGTATGTAAATTGATATGGTAACTTAACACTTTAAATACAAAGAACAATTTTGGCATTTTATATATAAGAGTATATATTGTATAAATGATTTTATTTTTCTTAGCCAATGTGGCTGATGTCTATTTTAAAGTTCTCATTTAAAAATCCAGTGTTTATAGTATAAATTATTGTATGGAAACATGAATATGGATATTATTTGTCAAAAATATTGGAATGTGAAATAAAGGTTTATCTACTATATGATTCAGTTAAATTTTTAGTGTTAGTAGTGTGGATTTTGTGACACTGGGAACAAGTTTGCACATCTGGTATGAACTTGAAAAGTAACAGATTTAAACTCTTTAAGTACATGGAACACTAGACGGTCATTCTGCCCATGAGAGGCTGCTTATGAGTTTATTGTGAGCTAGACTGATGACCTGCTGGAAAGTCCATATTTGTAACCTAATTTGAAGTACTCAAATTCGATGGACATACTAGTTTTTAGGAACAGTTTGGAAAAAAAAAAATTAACTTCCATTTCAGATATGCTCTATGAATGTTTGTATCATGTTGTACACTGTTAGAAACACGCAGACGCGGTATGCTTCGTGTCTTTCTAGGGAATTCAGTTCATGCAGATAAGAAGTTTCTTGACAAATACATGCCCCAGTTCATGAAACATCTTCATTATAGGATAATTGATGTGAGCACTGTTAAAGAGCTGTGCAGGTAAGGGCTATATTTAGGATCCATTATATTGCCTCATGTAGCATGTTTTACTGGAGAATTTGTAGAAAATAATTGAATAGAATGAGGGTGCTGTGTGGGTGTGTGTCTCTCTCATCCCAGTCTCATTTGTATGGGGTCCTTATTTATTCTGAGTGGTGAGGCATGGGAGAAATGCCAGAAGTCTTCCACACAGCTTTCATTAAACCAGAGAACGTAGGCATTGGCCGACCCACTGGGGACATGGAGATGAAAAGCTCTTGAGTAGCTAAGTCTAGTGGGTTGACAGAGGTGTAAAAAAAAAAACACCCTAAAAATAAACTGCCTGGTGACTTGTGTGATGGGAGTGTGCATGCAGAATATTCAGGGGCCACAGAGAGCTCAGCATGCTGGAGGAAAAGGGGGAGTCGGAGAGCTTCATCAAGTACACGGCCTTTTCAGGGAGATTGAAAGAGGCTTGAATGAGGAGAGAGCATTCCTGAATGTAAGCAGAGATAGGAGGATGCTAAGGAATTGAAAGCAAAGACAAATAGACACAGGGATGCTGGGATATAGTACAGTTGGAATGTTTGCCCAGCATGCAGGAAGTCCTGGCTTGGAGCCCCCAGCACTGCATACACAGGATGTAGTAGTACATACATGTAATTCTAGCCCTGGGGAAGATGGAGGCAGGAGGATGAGGAAGCCAGCCTGGGCTACATGAGACCCTGTCTAAAATAAAATAAATAAAAATTGAGTGTTAAAAAAGTTACAGATTCTTTGTTAATGCTGAGGTGGACAGCTTGAGATTGGCAAAGGTGAGACCAAGCCTGGACCATAAAGAGCTTGTGTGCCTGCTTAAAATGCTTGATTTTGTCTAATGAGAGATGCAGTTCCTTTGAGGTAGTTTTAATGGAAGGATGAGAAAAAATTGTATTGTTTAGAAGGTGGCAAGTAAAATGGTAGGAGGAAAAGAGGCATGTATCATCTCAGGGACTGAAAAACAAGTGGGAGAGACGGCCATTGGGTACTTAGAAGGGATACAACATTTGCCAGGGTCAGCAGGCGTGATGATGCCAGATGCTTGGATGAAGGAGCGAGGAAAGAGAAGTAGGAGAAAGGGGTTAGCATTTCTAGCTGAAGCCGCTTAGGTAGATGGTGGACCTGTTCAGAAGAGGAGGAGAGACTAAGAGTAAGGTTGCATTTGAGGATGGGAGTGGAGGATGTGTGGTCTTCTATACATTAAATTAGAAGTGTCTGGTGGATTAGGTGGAGATGCCCATCAGGCAGTTAGATACAAAGGACAGAAACTAGCAAGGGCTGGGTTGATGTTCGAAACTTTGGAATCCACTATGTTGACAGACTTGTTTAAAGGGAGTTTCTAGGGTGAAGAGAGGAAAAGCCTTTTCCAGTATTAACTAATGACTTGAAGAGGTTGGGAGAGCCTTGCTTTATTTAGTCTGTAGGAAGCCTGGGTTCAATTCCGAGCACCTCAAACTAGGCAAGGTGCCTGTTGTCATAGTCCTCTGGAAGTGGAGGCAGGAGGATCAGGAAGGCAGCCCGGGCTACCTAAGACCCTGTGTCAAACAAGCAGAAGCCATAGATAGATGACTTGAAGGTGATTGCTCTGTGTGCTTGAGACAGCTTCCTTTGAGAGTTTATAATTTTTACTGTGTATAGACGCTGGTATCCAGAGGATTATGAATTTGCACCGAAGAAGGCTGCTTCTCACAGGTAAGATCGGGACCGTCCAAGGGCTGGCATACACTTAACCCCGACCTGACTTCTTAAATATTAACCTCTCTTTTCTAGTTTTTATTGGGCAAAATAAAGTTGCTGAAAGATAACTTTCCGACACTAAGAGTCCTTAGGATTCTGGGTAGGCTTCTAGATTCAGTTTTCAGTGGGCCTTTTTGTTTGTTTTTGTTTTTATTGTTTTGTTGTGAGTTATGTAGTCTGCTAGTCTTAAAGCTTGGTTTGGAAGTAGATGAAGCAATTTGTGACCTTTGTAGTAACTAGCACTGTTAGCTCTCTTCTCACAGAGGATGCAGGTGTGTGGCCTTCTGAAGTCAGGACATCATTGTCCTGCCTGGAAATGTTTGCTTTTTTTGGGGTGGTGTCTGTGCTTGCAACTGCAGGCAACTGGTTGTTTTAAGTTTTGGAGCCATTTAGAAAGAAAAGCTTACTGGTAAGGACAGGCCAAGGGAAGCATTCACTGATTTACTTAGTTGATAACACTGAATACTGATTTACTTAATTGATATTCTGCAGTGTACAGTTGGAGGCATCACAGAAAGACCAGTCCCTGAGCTAAAATGGCCTTCTGTTGTGTTCACAGGAGGGTGGCCCCAAATGACAGTGTACTAATTCAGATCTAAGATATTTTATCAGAAACAATAGCAGTTTGGGATTTTTTGGAGTTTGGACTTTTTCAGATTTATTTTCTTATTACTTGTATGTGCATGCGTGTGTGTGTGTGTGTGTGTGTGTGTGTGTGTGTGTCTGTGTGTGCACACACACACATATGTGCACATGTGCCTGCATGTATGTGTGACAATAGAGGCAACTTTTAAGAATTGGGCTGGGGATTGAACTCTGGTCATCAGGCTTGACAGAGGTGTCTTTACCTGCTTGCCCATCTCATCAGCTCCTTCTCAGTTTGGGAAGTTGATAGTCAACCACATTGTTCATCATTATGTTCCTAAGTAGATTTGAAGAAGGCCAGCCTCCATAATACAGTAGATAGACATTTCTACAAAGAAATGTGGCTGTTCACACAAGATGGCATAGCTGATAACTGTGTGTAAACATGCCAAGATTAGCCCCGGCTTTACCACACAGTGGGATCTAAAAGTATGTTGAGATTTCTGGTCTGTTTTCAGAGTTCAATATTGTGTTATGAGATTGTACGTTGTTGGAGCTGAGGAGATAATTCAGTTGATAAAGCACCTACCTCACCATCAGAAGCACAAAGACCTAGGTTCAGTCCCTAGAATCCTCAGAATGCTGGGCAAGGTTGTGCATGCTGTGTTCTCAGCATTGAGGAGGCAGAGAAGGGCCTTCTAGGGTTCCATGGCCTGTTACTCTAGCCTAGTTGATGAGCTGCAGGCCAGCTAGAGACCGTCTTAATAGTGGGATGGCATCCCTGATCTACACATGCATACACACATATGTGTGAAAAAATGTGATTATGTGTTGTTATTTAACCAGTGTGTGTATGTATGTATGTATGTATGCATGTATTCTCCAAATATTTCAAATTTATTTTTGACAGTATTATACATATTTACAGTGTATCTTGATCATATCTATCTCTAACTCCCACCCTTCCCATTATCACTTTGTACCCCACTTCCCTCCTCCTTGAAATGGCCCCCATCCTACCTTTATGATTTGTTTTGTCTGTGTGTGTGTTTGGGTGTTGAGGCAAGGTCTCTCAGTATAGGCCTGGCTGTCCAGGAATTTGCTGTTTAGACCAGGCTAGCCCCAAACTCAGAGATCTGCCTGCCTCGGCCTCCTAAGAGCTGGGATTAACAGTGCACGCCACCACACCCGTCTTCCTTTTCTTTTTTGTGCTGCCTGCTTGGTTGTGGGGTCATCCATCAGAATGTGGGTGGCCCTGCCACGAAGAGCAATGATGCCCACCCCAGCAGCCATCACTTGCCAATAGCTCTTTAGCTAGGGGTTGGAGGCTGTAATTTTGAGTTTGAATCCCCTACCATACCTATGTGATTTAGGAAGAAAGTGAATTAGTGCCTTTGTCGTGGAAATGAATAACTTAAAACTCCAGCAGTGATGATCAGACAGTGAATTCTCAGAAGAGGCTCTTAGCCCGCCACAGTGTATCGATTTACTTGCTTACCATTGTAATAATCTTGGGATTTCTCAGGCTTCAGCAGCTGAGAAACAGCATGTCGGATAAGAAAGACTGTTAGGTGGATGCAGGCTCCAGTGATCATAGCACACATTACCACAGAGGGGAGGCAGAGCCTCCTTCATGGCTAGGTGCCCTCTGATCTGATAATTGGCACTCATTAGGATGGCTGAATCATGAGCTGCGGTGAGTATGTAGGTCTTGTCTGTTCAGGGACATCCCTAAAGTATTGCATAGTGTTTCCCAGGCTCTGGTTCTTGGGCTGCTGGTAAGTATCCCATGAACATGGTTGCTTACATTGCAGAAATGTTATATGTGTAGGACAGGTTCTTAGGAATTCATCTACATATTATTTGTGTACATATTCAGTTAATAAATGTTTTGGACAGAACCTCAGAAAGGAAATGATTAACCTGTTTCCTAAAGTCAGTTGATCCTGAGATTCCCTTCACTCCAGTCACATCATAGTCTTTTGAAACAGTGGGGATTTTTTTTCTCCAACTTACTGTATTTTTTTTTTAAAATTTATTATTTTACGTGTCGATCCCAGTTCCCTTTCCCTCCCTCCCTCCTTCCCTCCCTTTTACCCTCTCTGCCCTCTCACATGCACCCTACACCCTCCCCTCCCATCCCCCCACCCCAATTCCATATGTAGGGAATGCCATCCAGTTGGGGTCATGTAGCTCTGACAGGTCATGTGAAGTAGGGGCTAGGGCTTCTCTCCTGTCTCTAGATTAAGGCAGTTATCCCTCCATGAGGGATGTGTTCGCAAGGTCCTTTTGTGCACCAGGGATACATCCTGGTTCCAACAGTGGGGAGTTTTTGTCTCCTTCATCTAAAACATAGCATGCAGCAAGCACCAGCACCAGTGACTTAGTGCCACCGAGGTGTCCACTACTTTCTGTACCAGATGTGCCATTCACACTAACCGGATCCCAGGTTGCTTGTAAGAAGTCACGGTTTTCATCTCTAGTGTTTGGGACATTTTTTTTTTTTCCTTCAGTGTGGTGTGTTTGCTTGTAGGGCTCTCGATGATATTAGCGAAAGCATCAAAGAGCTTCAGTTTTACCGAAATAACATCTTCAAGAAAAAGACAGACGAAAAGAAGAGGAAAATTATAGAAAATGGGGAAAATGAGAAGACTGTGAGTTGATGCCGGTTCTCAAGCTGCACAGCCACCTAGTTCTTCAGAAGCTCCTTTAGTGTTTCTTTCCTGCTGCTAACTCGGCAGAACACCTTTTCTAAAGAAAAACAAATTTTCCAGTTAACTTTGCATCTCCAGACTCCTCAAGCAGACAAGACATCACTGCTTGTTTCTTCTAACCAGCTGTTTCCATTATGACACAGCGACTCCTCTGTAAGCTTCAGGCCACGCCCACCCACCCCCTCAGCCCCTCAGTCCATATCTGCACTTGCTTATAGGCCATTCCTTTTGTTTGAAAATAAATAATAAATAAAGCTAATTCTATTGAAATGCAACCCTTTTTGTACCATATATTCTTCAGTAATTCAGTTGTTGGGGAAAAATTTACCTCTCAAAATGTGATTGGATTAAGTTGTATGTTTCAAATAGGAAGTGAACTTACTCTCTGTTGTTTTGCACATCAAGAGAGGGGTAAGGAGTTAGGTTGTAAGAGGATTTGGGCTCATTATCCAATTAACAGCTGGCCACTCTTCACCACAGTAAGAAATCCAGGTAAGCACACAGGGCTCAGTAAGCAGGCCTGAGGCTTTATTGGCTAGAAAATATGTACAAGGCAGTCACTGTGTCGGGTTTATGGACCAAAGCTAGCCTGTGGCCTTAGGTAAGTAGACAAGGAGGGGTTTCAGTGTAGATATGTTAACTCCAGTTTAGTTTATCAAGACCACAGGGGGTGCGGGGCAATAGAGTCATCTGTAGAAGTGACCTAGTTTCTTTGGGCACCTCATTCTGACAGACAGTTCCTAAACATTGAGAAACCACCAGAAAGAGACTTTTATGATGGTCTCAGTTATACAGTTTGTACATTAGTGTGGTCCTGATGTGTGCTAGTTATCTATGCAGAGAGCCCTAGGTTATAGATCTGAGTAATCCTGCTATCACTTGAGAAACATTTTAATGTGTGTTGAGTTATATTTCCTAGTCATCTTTGGGGAGAAAAATGGAGATTTTATTGGAACTTCTGCCAAATGAACAAATTCAGTTTGAGGGACTGGAGAGATGGATCAGTGGTTAAGAGGCTGTTCTTCCAGAGGACCTGGCTTTATCCCTAGCACCCTAAGGTGGCTCACTGTCATTCTAACTCCAATCTCAGGGAATCCGATGCCCTCTTCTGGTCTCTGTGGGTACAACATGTGTATGATGCACAGATACCCATTCAGGCAAACACTCATACACATAAAAATAAATCTTAAAAAAAGAGTTGTTATGATAAACTTAAATGCTGTGGTCAGGGGGCTGAGCGCTCTGCCTGTGACATAGTAACTGCCTGTAATGATAGTTACCTAGGACGGCTGAGGGAGGCTTAGTGTTTCCACTTAAAATTTGCCACATGGTCTTTGTTGTTACTTTATTCCCCACAAGCAATACAAGAGTAGGTGCCAAGACACCAGGAACCAGACACTAATGTAGCAGGGTTTCTCCAACCACTGACCGACTGGCATTCTCATCGGTTTTAACTATTTGAACCATTAAGAGCACAGATAGAACCCTCCTGGCATTAAGTCTTTGTCGCACAAATGGCTGCCTTCCTGACTTTGTCCTCTATTCTGTATCTTCATTATTTAATAGAACGCTGTCACCTTGAAGTGAAGCCGGTATTACATCTGGTGGAATGATTGGCAGCTGTGGCCTAATGCGAGTCTGCATAAAGACATGATGGCACGATGACTAGTTCATTATTTCTCACTCTGCTTAAAAAATAAGGAGTTGTATGGATAGCGCTGACACTTTGGGTTTCTTAGGGGATTCCTGAAGCTGTGAAGTAATTTCTGTGACATGAACTGCAGTGCAAATTTAAATGTAACTTCGGCTCAAAAACCTATCAGCATGCGTTGCCTCGCAGAGGCTGCTACTCTTGGGGCCTCTCACTGGTGGTTCTGTCTGAGTAGTGATTATACTGCGAGCTGTATTCCTGGGGTGATTAGGTGTACTTCCTCCCTTGCAGAAAGCCCAGGAGGTGACAGAAGCAGCACCAAATGATAATGTCCCCTAGCACTGCAACCATTGTACTGTGTGGCAAGAAAGACCCCTTTCCCCCCAACCGTGTCTTCAAAGAGCTAAGATGCCTGAGTGCTCTTGTTTACAAAACCGTACTTCTGTTTAGAAAATAAAACCAACCTGACAAAAAGTTGACAAATGATGCAAAGATATTAATCTTTGGCTTTTTTTTTTTTTTTTTTTTTTTTTTTAAAGACAGGGTTTCACTATATGGCCCTGGCTGTCTTGGAACTTAGCGTGTAGTAGACCAGGCTGACCTTGAACTCACAGAGATCTGCCTTGCCTTTGTCTACTTCCCAAGTGCTGGGATGAAAGGTGTATGCCAGCCACCAGGCCCAGGAAAACCAGACTTCTTATATATGTGAGCTGTGAAGGAAAAAATGATAGCTAGTCGCACCAAGAGCAAGTTTGTCACATTGACCACCTTGTGGTTGTGCACAGTGTCCCAGGCTCACCCAAATAGCCTCACATGTTGGAAAATGAAAAAGCAGCAGAGACAGTAGAAAGTTGGTGGTATTGCTATGATAAGCCATGTGCAGCAGATTGATGATGGCAAAGGCCATTGTTTTCCATATCTGTTGATGAGGGCAAAGGCAATTAGACTATGTATTTATTGCTATGTGCTGTGCATCTGTTATGAAGATTGAATTGTAGAAACTTAAGCAGCAAAACCTTTCTGGGTTTTTGTTTTTGTTTTTTTTTGGGGTGTGTGTGTGTGTGTGTGAATGTGTGTGTGTGTGTGTGTGTGTGTGTGTGTGTGTGTGTGTCTGATTTTAAAAGCAAAGAGAGCCCGGTAAAAATGCTCTGGTTGAGCATCTGCTGTCAAGTAAAGAGTGATCAGCTTCCAAAGCCCTGCAGAGGTAAGGATTTGTCTGCATCCTACTAGAAAGCAGGCTGATTCATCGGGGCAAGCTGAACATAGAGGACCTGAGACATGGCTTAGTCTTAAGGGTAATTTAGTGAGCTTAGTTTTGCACATGACATAGGTTGGTAACTTCGGGTACAATAAACAAAGGCATCTCTAGGGCAACACATGCTAGGAAATGGGGAATTTGAGCATGGAGCACAGTGTTCTTGTGCAAATGAGAACATTCCTTGAACAAACTTCCCATGAGCAGCCCACCAGGGTCCTTAGGGATCTAGGACACATGACTTGGGTTTTATAACCCCATGGATATGTTCTTACTACTCTGGATCAGCACACTTACAAGTGACAGAAATGGCAAATTTTATTACACTTGGCCACATCAAACACACACAATTCATTATGAATCATTTTTGGACTGAACCTGTGTTAGCACCAGTGTGTAATGGACGCAGCTTGCTGGAGCTGAACATGGCCTGTGTTCTCAGGAAAAGTTACACCCTTCTGATTCTTTATCAGAAACAGGAAGCAGACAAGTTGGGGGGTGGGGTGGGGGTGCTTGCCTTCCTGTCAGTGTCAAAGTAGTCTAAGGAATGGATGTTTAATAAGACGAGGGGTGGTTAGGAAAATCCTGTGCTTCAAGGTGTCCCAAGTTCTTTACTAACTGAGGCGGAGGAGATGCCTCTGAGTTGTGTGTATTAGATAGTCTAGATGAATTCCACTTAAGTAGCTTACAAATTTATGGAACAATCTAGTTACAGACATGCATAATGTGGGATGTCTTTAAAATTGTGTGTGTGTTGCATGTGTACTAGTGTGTGCTGTTGCCCCATGAATATGTGCAGAGGCCAGTGGGAGCCAGCCACTGTCCTGCCTTATTAATCACTCTCTGCCTTATGCCCTTGATACAGGATCTCACTGAACCTGGCAGGCAGTCAGCATGTCCAAGAGATCCTCCTGTTTGTACCCCTCATAATGATGGTGGTGGCTGCACATATGGTCACACTCTTGTATACACAGTAAGCACTCCTACCCACGAAGTCCTTTGCCATCTCCCAAATCTAGCACTTCCCCTCTGTTAGTTGTATTTTGTTCAGTCACCTTTCCTATATGTTCTTTTTCCTCTTAGAGGTTCAAAGATCCTTGGTTATCTAAGCCTGTTTTCCTGTTTTTTAAGCGCTGTGAAATAGGTTCATTCATGTGATGGTCAATCATACTGTGTACACAATTCAGAATGGGCGGAAACTGAGACAGCTGGGAAGCGCAGGCAGGGACCCTGAAGAACAGCTGAGTGTATCAGGAAGGTGCCAAAATGCAAGCTTCCAGGGATGTAGGTGCCCTTCTGTGCCCCAGGGTCACTGTATCCTAGAAAACCTCATTCATCTTCAGTATTCGCTTTATGCAGCTTTGGGATTTATTGGAGGTCAAACTGTGTGGCACTAAAATACTCTTTGTAGCCTCTGCTTTGCCGAAGATGGATGCTACAAACACCATCTGCTGTCACCGCCATTTCATAGCTCTATTTTAAAACATGCGGTGAGGGTGTAAGTTCAGGAAGAAAAAGCAGGTACTTTATATGGGATGAATTTGATTTTATGAAAATCCCAATTATGCCCTCCTTGTTCATTGTACTTTAAACTGACTAAAAAACCATAGATTTCTTGAGTACCTGTCAGTCCCCAGGTTGGAGTTTGGGACTTATGGATGTGTTTATGTCTGAGTGTCTGTCTAAAACCCTCTATAAAGAAGTAGCTACATGCTATGTCATAATACTAATAATACTAATAATAAATACTAATACTAATAATAATACTAATAATAAATTTACTTTAAATGTTACTATAATTATTATTATTTGAGGCAGAATTTCAACTGTGTAGCCATGGCTGGTCTGGAACTTGCTATGTAGATTAAGAAGACCTAGAACTTAGATCCCCTACCTTGCCTCCTGAGTGCTAGGATTAAAAGTATGTACTACCACACCTAGCTATTTTAAGAATTATTTTCTTCTTTGACAATTTCATATGTGTATATAATATATTTTGGTCATTTTCACCCCCTATTACCCTCACTCATTCCTCTCCCACACCCTCTGGACCCCCTGTTCCCAACAAATCCCCCTCCTACTTTCATAGCTCTGTTGTTTGTTCTCTTGTGACCCACCACATTTAATTTGGTTGTTCCCATGAGCGTACTTGGGGGATTTACTGTAGCATGGGCTAGATGCCAGTGGCTCCAGAACAAAATGAAAGTGGCCCCTCTTCCACCTTTTTGATGGGGTTTTGAATATGTGTCTTGTGCAGCTCTTCTGCAGGGAACCATGGCTTCTGTGAGTTCATGGGTGCAGCAGCCATGCCATGTCTGTACATTACTATCTTAACGCGCTAATTGTTAGACATTGTTATTGCACACCAC